TTTACTCAGATGCGCTGTTGCAATCAAGCCTTACGTTGATAAAGGCTTGGATTATGATAGGAAAATCCACATCCAATTTTAGCATATCTTGATGTATAGGAGAAACAAATAATTATTTAGCATTCCTACCTACTGTCACAGCATAATTGCAAAAACTAATGGAGATTGAACATACTGGTCCTCATTTTCCCACTGGAATGAGTTACACGTAGATGTAGAATGGTTCAAATTGCATCCCGACTGACAGTTAGTTTCATGTTAGCATCACCTCGGTCTTATCTGGGCTGGACTTCAGGCACTCCTTCGTGCAGTAACTGGCAGCAGCAAATCTTGCCTCACTTGCCAGAGGGAGAGACAGGGCTCTAATATAATCAGCGTCCTGAAAATAATTCCATCGTTCCATCTCCTCGTGTTCAGTCTGCACAAGAGGATGAATAGAGGGATTCTGTAATCACTGTGATCAAATCCGAAGAGAAGAGTCATACCTTTGAATATGCTGAGCTAGGAAAGAATAGAGCTTCTCAAGCAGTGTTTTCTGCTTCTGCTCGTGTCTCTGGGCAGACCAATGCCTCCTGCTCAGAGTTATCACAGGCTGCTGCCAGGTCTGACAATCAGTGTCAGACACCTGATCTTCAGCAGTTGCCAGGAGCTCTAGTGTTGCTAGTGCAATTTTTGTTCTCTAACCTGGCCTGCACCTAAAAATGGCAAAGATCACAAAGGTACTGGGTTGCTACATAGTCATTACTTTTTCTTCAGATGTGAAGAGGGGTTAAACATGAATATGCAGTGCAGGAGTATATAAATTCACACCAGTGAAAGTGGGTCCTTTGCTGTTTGAGAGTTGCTTCTGGTTATGAGTATGTTGATTGCTTTGTGTAGGCTTAATATGCTCATATTGAGCTGAAAACAGCATAAGCAAAGGAGAAGAAATGATTAGAGGTCATTTGTCTTCTGATCCTGACCTTGCCACAAGATTTTCTATCACCAAGGACAATTTGCTTCCTTTGTAAAATCCGCTTAGTATTTGTGATCCCTAAAGGAGTTAGAAAGCTATTTGTCAATCACTTCAGAAGACTGGGAGATTCTTGAGTGATTCATACTAGAGTGTGAAGTATAATAAGGAGAAGCAGTAATAAAGAGAGTGCAAGGCAGACAAATACATAGTTTTTAGACGCATACTTGAATATGTCTTTTGGGGTTTGTTATGGGGTGAAAAGGATGGATTTTCTCATTGTGGCAGGGGGCAAGGTTTGCATTTGTTAAGAGCATTTTTTGTTATGTGGAAAAAATATGGTAGACTTCTGATCTAGTCTAAACGTGTATTTAACCAAATTGCTTATCCCAGAATATTTAGGATTTTTCCAGATAAACATCTTAGAAAAAAGTCCATTAAGCCACTGTTTCCAGGAGGAAGCTGCTGTGTGGAAAGTACTGGGAAGTTCCTACCATGAGCAGCTTACAAACTAATTGTAGTGAGTTGTCCCCATGATGTTTGTGTTTGAACAGAATTTAACACAGTGGGGCTTTCATCCTGTTTAGGTCTTGTAGTCACTGTTAGGTTAAACATATCCTCCCAGCACCATATTGTTCTATGAACACTTTCTGACATGTCAATATTTTTCTAATAACATAATGTCTGGGACTTCAAGCATTACTTCAGGTGTTGTCATGACCAAGCTATGTGGAGATAGTTTCTCGTCTGCTCTGTCTTGCATCACTCTCACAACTGGGCAAGTTAACCCTTCCCACTGTCACATTACAGTGCAAAAAACCTAATTTAGAATTCAGTTACCTAGAATCTTTCAGCAGAACCGCTTTCGTGGTTTTTTCACACAAAACATTTGAGTAATTATTTAAATATTTTAGCTTCCCAATTTTTTTTTTTAAGTTTTAATTCTGTTTTACTTTCTGACTCTGTGATGTCAATCTGTACCTTAATTTTGTGCAGTTGTGACAGAACGTTTTAGTTAATGTGATGCTGAAAACAGCTTGATAGCTAGCTGACATGGTCTGTCACAATCTGCAGGGTTATGGCCAAGAACTCCATGATATGGACTTCAATTGTGGGTGATTGTCACGCAAACTACAGCTTGTCCTCCTCTCTGAAGGTTACATTGTCAGCATCAGTTCAGTTAAAGATGACTTGGAATAATGTTTGTGCACTTTAAGTCTGGGATTTAATCTAAGCTTTGCAGTGTGGAAAAGAGAAGGGTGGTCTTTAATCCTTTAGGATTGGATTTCAATTCGTTTGAGATCATCTCTTCAAAGTAAAGCACAGTGGTGATTACGTATACTTCGCTTTTGCTTCCTAGCTGAGGCATGTAAGCAAGTTTTAACGATTTCTCATTCCATTGACATGGTGGTCCTTTTATATTGTCCTTGAGGTTACAGGAGGTGTTCTTCTGAAATACACTCAGTCTTAATGCTGTAATTATAATTGAGTATTTTGATAAAATGCTTTCTTTTAAATATGGCTTCTTACAGGTGCAGCTTGTTGGTTTGGATGAAGAGAGCTCAGAATTCATTTGCAGGAACACCTTTGATCACCCCTACCCTACCACAAAGCTTATGTGGATCCCAGACACCAAGGGAGTATATCCAGACCTGTTGGCAACCAGTGGTGACTATCTGCGAGTGTGGAGAGTGAGTAAATCCTCCCTAGAAAAAGATAAACCATTATATTAATTGTGTTGCATATTGATTTCATTTTTACTGAAGACCAGATTTTTTGAAGTGAGTTATTTTCCTTTCAGGGTGTCTTACCCTTGCAACAGTGTGGAGGTTAAGACATAAAATCAAGTCAGAGCATTTGAGAATTTGTTTTCTTAACTGCAATAATGTGGCTAAATATGAAGACTGTAGGAGAAGCAGAATTATGATAGTAGTTGCTGTTTAATCACCTTATTGAAGATAGAGATGGTGATTGTGTTTTCCAGAGCTTTAGGATGAAAAGCTGAGAGGAAAGAAACCCAGGATTAACACCTTATGTTTTGGAAGTGCAAGTGGAACAAGTCATGTGATGTTGCTATTTAAGTCAGATGTTTCACTTTTTCTAAAGGTGGGTGAAACAGAGACCCGGCTGGAGTGTTTGCTGAACAATAACAAGAATTCTGATTTCTGTGCTCCACTAACATCATTTGACTGGAATGAAGTGGATCCTTACCTTCTAGGTGAGACTGACAAAATGCTACATTTTCAGCATGGAAGAGACACGCTTTTGAATTTAGTCTGGTGAAGTCTGGGCTGTGACTGATTGCTGTGTCATTGCATGTCACTGGTTAATTTGATAACTAACCAGTGGACAAACTTCTACATTATAGAAAATGCCATTGTCTTAGGTTAAAAATAAAATTTAAAAAAAATTGAGCAGCTTCTGGAGACTTTTTTGCATTGAAAGGTGCCCTGCCCAGTTCAGAATGGGTCACTTAAGTTCGATTAGAGGTGTTCCTTATTTGCAGATAGGGAGTCTCAGTCTTCAGGGCTGGTGAGCTATTGTTGTAGTGCTAAGTAATGATGTAAATGAACTCCGCTTATTTCAGTGTATTCTGGAGCGGATAGAAAACTATGTACTAAGCTTTTTCTTTTGTGAAGCCATGTCAGCAGCAGGAGTAAAGCCAGGAGCCCTTAATTCAGTCGGAGGAGGGGGCTGAATGCTTAAGGTTTAATTATAGCCTATGGGACAAATTGTGAATCCAAGATGACTGATCCGGCAGAGGTTTGTTTCCCAGAGGAGTACAGCCATTTATGTCAGGGGGATTTGCCCAGAGATTAACAGTGATAATATGCCTTAGTAATTATTTACTACATGATTTATTTTTTGTGTTGCATCTCTCATCTCTTAAGAGCTTTACTACTAGCCCCACCTTCAGTCCACAGAAACAATCAATTAATAATAATACGCAATCGCAACACTACGATTGAATTTTGGTTTTCACATGCACATGAGACTTACAGGATGGGAAAGTTCATCTCAGCGTTGCATCAGGCTTCTGAATAGATTGAAGTAGACATGAACTATTTACACTTTATTCCTGTGTGGAAGACTATTTCTGCAGCTAAAAGATTTGGGTCATTTAAATGCATGGTAGACGGTTAGCTGTTTGACATTCTTGATTTTAATTCCGTTCGTGTAGCTATTTTGATCTGTAGATGTTGGAGGATATTACATTAATACAGTAAGTGATTAAATAATTTGTGAGAATATTAATTTTGCTAACAGAAGTGTTTTTATTTCAGGTACCTCTAGTATTGACACAACCTGCACTATTTGGGGTCTGGAGACAGGACAGGTTCTGGGAAGAGTAAATCTGGTCTCTGGCCATGTGAAGACCCAGCTTATTGCACATGACAAAGAGGTGACAGCTTTTTTTGATTGTTTACATTGCATATTTTTTGAGCGGTAGGAAAGGAACAGAACTTACTGTTTTCCCCCTTTTTCTTGAAAAATCTAATGATCCAAAAATATAATTTATCTAAGATTAAGATATACAGTTTTGAGTACCAAACTCAGACTATACTGCTGGCTATCAAAACTACTGTTTACTCATCATATAATCTGGACTTGAGAATACGCTTATTTTACTAGACTATGCTCTAGAATATTTTAGAAAATTGAGCTAAAACATCAAACTGGAATGGAAATGAACTGTCAAAGACAATAAACAACGTGCAAGATTCTTTCATTTTAACATAATGTTACTTTTCAGCAATTAATATAAAAAAATCTCAGTCTGGGAAATTGATGTATTTTGTTTCAGTGAATGATTCTATAATGACATAACCCTTTTAATTTTTTCCCCCTCCTTTTGGCAAGCGTAGTAACTAAAAACTTGCTAGGAACATCAAGTATTTGACAGAATATGTTGCAACTAGATCTGCTATCCGTATGTAAAATCCATTTTACTGCGAATTAGGAGGCAGTGTGCTCACTAAAACTAAGGTTATGGTGTTTTTCTGTCCTGTTACTGAGCAGGTGTATGACATAGCATTTAGCCGTGCAGGTGGTGGGAGAGATATGTTCGCTTCAGTTGGTGCAGATGGCTCGGTGAGGATGTTTGATCTCCGTCATCTGGAACACAGCACCATAATTTATGAGGATCCACAGCATCATCCATTGCTGCGTCTCTGCTGGAATAAGCAGGATCCCAACTATCTTGCTACAATGGCCATGGACGGCATGGAGGTAAGGCGGCAGCTCATCTTCTGTAGGTGCTAGGGGTTGTGATTTTTTGGGAGGTGGCTTGATGGTAATTAGTAGTCAGTTCTTTAAAGTAAGGGGGCAGTGTCAGTACCTGAACTGGAGTATGATTAAGGACCAATTCATAGTGCACTAACTTCAGCAGGTTACAAACTTGAAGATCTCTATGGCTCGAATATATTTCAGCTGGTTTTTAAGACGGGTCTGTGAGCCAGCTGGGCAATAGTTTTCACATAAAATCTTAAATAAAGGTGTTTTAGACACTTTGTTCTTTCTCGGTTGAGCGCATGAGGCGGCGTATCTTAGTTTGTCGCTTGTGCTGCTTCAGGAAAGCGTAATTCATTTGCTCTTGTGAGATAATCACGAGCCCTCCCTGTGAAGTCTGACTCCTTTTAAGACACATTAACCGGCTAGAAGCTATTCTTTGAGAACAGTGTTTGCTTGCCAACCGCATCCTTTAGGAAAGGGCTGTATTTATAGCCTTAGCTCAGAATACTTGGTTTTCTGAAGAAACAAATTAAAAAAAAATGCAAGTTATTAATTTAGTTGGTTTTTGTTTCTGAAGGTTGTGATTCTAGATGTCAGAGTTCCCTGCACTCCTGTTGCCAGGTTAAACAACCACAGAGCATGTGTAAATGGAATTGCTTGGGCACCTCATTCTTCCTGCCACATTTGCACAGCAGGTAAGTGTGATCCATCCCTGTCCAGCTGCGTTGGTGAATCTCTGAGTGTCTTTCACTGCGTTTGCAAAATCCTCTCTCTCCAAAAGTTTATGCAGTTCTCTGCCTGCCTTTTGCTAAAGAATACCTGCAGTTTAGAAGCCCTTTATTAATGACTTTCCTAAAATTTTTATGGAAATAGACACCTACTGGAGCTTATTGTGTGGAAGTAGTGAGCCCAGGGCCCAAACTATGCATCTGCTTTGGCTAAGCTGTATTATTTTAATGCTCCTTATTTTGTTGCAATCTAGTTCTTAAGTGTTTTCAATTGTTGGGAGTTCTACTGATCATTTGTTTTTCAACTCTGTCCTGGATAATTAATAATGATCCAAGCTTACTTTTTTGGAGCATAGTTGTGTCATTGTATCTCTGGCTTGAATACTCATCAGGACTGCAACAGCCATATCCTATATAGCTTCTTGGACTATACGCCCGTTAGTAGTCATGTATGAAGACCTCGTTATACCTTGATTCTACTTATGATTTTCTTTTCCATTTGCAGCGGATGACCATCAGGCTCTCATCTGGGATATCCAGCAAATGCCTCGCGCCATTGAGGACCCTATCTTGGCCTATACAGCAGAGGGAGAAATCAACAATGTACAGTGGGCATCAACTCAGCCAGACTGGATAGCTATCTGCTACAACAACTGCCTGGAGATTTTGAGAGTGTAACGTTACTGCTTCATGCCACATTGAGGCAGGGCTGTATAATTTCCCCTCCCCTCTAAAGTAAGAACAACACAAGTCAAGTGGCCAGTATCTGTTGTTGCTTTGCATCTACTGTTACAAGAAACTGTTACAAGAATCAATGGCAGGTGTCTCCTGTCTCTCCAAGACTCTAAAATGCAGAGACATGCTGAGCCTCTTGGACCTTCTGGGTTCTGGTTTTCTTTTTTTTTTTTTTCCCCCTCAGTTAAAGCTGTATATTTGTTTGTTGACTGTATTAATAAGCTTGCAGGCTTTTAAGTTGCTGCATATGTCCATGTGTTTGTCAGCCAGCTGAGGCAGCACATCCAACTAGTTTAATAGATGCAAGTGCAAAACAAGGTGGCGAAAAAGACATTGATGTTAACAGCCACCTTGGCAGGAATCTTTATCGTTCCTGTTGTTGCTGCCTCTAAACTGTTTAAACATTTGTATGTTTTTTATATATTGAGCTTTCTATTGAGTAAGGTTTTTCTTCCCTAATTCTTACTTTTGATATGTGATCCACTTCCATATGCTCAAAGCAGGATCTATTTGTTCATACAAATCAGAACACTGCAGGCTCGCTGGCAGTAAAGGCCTGCCAGGATTAACTGTTGCCTTGGCTCTCTATACCTGGTTACCTGGGCAGAATTTTCTGGTGCTGTAAAGTACAAGTACTTGTTGCACAATTTCTTTACACTTTTCTGATGCTAGAGGCAGTTGTTACTATGGTAGGCCTTATTTTTAAATTATAACTGAATTTGTGTGATCCTGCAGTTGTGTTAACTCACTGAACGGTAATAGGTTTCAGAAAGAAGATACATGCGTGACTTAAGCTCCCAGGAGGTAAATGACTCCTGAAAAAATGTGGTTTGTAATGGACTTGGGATTGACACATCCAATCAAATGATTTCCCCTCGGAAGACTTACTATCTAAACCAAAATAAAATGGTTTCACACTTTGTAGCTTGCTTGATTGGCAAATAATATGAGCAAGATTTTATGGTTAGCCTGTACCTTGGAGGTTCCTTGCATTTGGCCTGTGTTCCTGGGAGTTCTTGAAAGGAGTGCAAAGCAATCTTTTTTCCGAAGTGTATTTGCTTTGTACTGTCAGGTCTTGTTGAATGAGCGAGATGAGTTGGAAAAGCTGGTCCGCTATCCAAATGAAAGCTGTTTCTCTGAAAGAAATTATTCCCTCATGCAACGCACAAAGATGGATTTAAAAGGAAAGAAACCATGCCACTAAGGCTAAGGTTTGGCACTTGTCATCCTCATATCTTTTGGGGATGTGCCCAAGGGCTTCTGTTTCTGTTTTGAATAGTGGATCACTCTACAGTAATACTTTTCAATCAAAGCTGAGTGGATTAGGCAAGATAAAAATCTTCATTGATAACATAGCTGCTCGGATGAATGCTCCACAGTACTCTCCCAAATGAAGACATGACAACCATAGCTGGTCTGTAAGGGTATACCAGCTGAGTTTTGATGTAAATGTCAGAAACTATCAAAATTGCCTTTCCACCTAATGAGTATTCACCTGCAACTGGAGGCAGCATTATAAATAGGACACTGGCAAACTTGAATCTTGTCAGTTTATGCAGGAAAGGCAAGTTGGGAAAAGCGATTGCTGTGAAACAGTGAAGCTGACACTGAAAGCGCTGTCAAATGCAGAACAGAATTTGAAAAGTTTTGTCATTCTGGACATACAGAAGTATTCTTCTACAGGCTGCTTCTCAGTGTGGAGCTCAGAAAAGCACTGCCTTGTGAATTTGATAGGAATTCATTAGGGACAGCTTTATTCCATCACTCCTTTTGATATCGGAGAACCTAACACAGTTCAAGTGCATGTTTTGTCAATGACATTCTGTGTTCAGTTGTGGGATTTTTGACATAAAGCTTAAAGGTCAGGTTTTTTTCTTATTAGCAGCAGTGCTGAGAGTAGTGTGTTTCACAGACAGATTTGCTCTAGATGTCAGAATGGTGTTAGCCAAACAATTAGGTTATCACTTTTTACAATAGCACTTCATCTTAAACTGGAAAATACTTATGCAGAATGAAGTGAAAATTAGGATTTTCTTAGCAGAAGCACATAATGGCACTCACAGCTTTAGACACTCACATAAAAATTGGACACAGGCTTGTCATGTACTGTTTAATTACAAATGGTAGGCATAATATGCTGTGTTACTAAGAGGGAATTACCTGCAATATTAGTACTTTCTGTAGTCCCCTTTATGCTTCAAAGTCTCATTCCTGTATAGATGGCATGAGTAAAAGATGAATGCATCTGTTGCTTAGCTTAAAAATGCATCTTTTGCAGTTGTAGAATTGTGCTTTAAAAAAGATGTAAGATAATTTAGTTGAAAGTGAAGTCACTAAAAGACTCCATAGGCTATACTAAATGGCAAATGCAGTTTATTCCTAGAGGAATACAATCTGTTACACTAAAGTGATGAGAAGAGAGCATGTATAAAGGGGCTAATAGTCTGAATAGCCAGGTAGCTTTTGCTACTGTTGGAAAACAATTCTGTTACGAACCTGAAGAGAATCCAGTGTCAGTCCTTCCATCCATAAAACTGCTTGAAGTTCATTTGTGGAACTGGGTGCTCATTCCAAACTTGTTAAAGGCAAGTGAAGGAATCTTGCAGGCTCAGGTGGATTCTAAATAAAGCCTATATTCTGTTTGTTTAGCCAGTTGGGGTACCTTCTGGATCTACAGCATATTGCTTTGGGCATAATCCATTGTCATTCTTCATATGAAATTACATTTGAAATCACTAGAGGCTGTTTTGGAACAGGGAAATGCGACTTAAAATAGCTTCTTTTCAAAGAAGTTGCTTGAAAGGTTAATGACTGAAAAGACATGAAAATCCTCATGGGTGAGATGTTCTGTAGTGCAAATGGCACTTCCATATAGAGAAGGAAGTGAGAGACTTTGTGCCCTTTTGCCAGCACCTGCTGACACAGTGGCAGGGAGCTAACTGTCTACTTGCTGGTTCAAGTTTATTTGCAAGATAAAATAAAACCCTGAGACTTGTCACTGTAGCCTGTGAATCAGAAGATACAGTTTATCATATTTCACTCGCTTAACATTTAATTATGTTGGGTGTAAAGCCCCCAGAAGCATTATTTTTTCCGAAGTTTATGAAAATAAATACTTTGATATTTGATCTCAGTTATTTTGTGCTTACTGCACAAGTAGAGGATGCAGAGCAACTGCTTTCAAATGCCTCCTATCCCTTGAGTATGAAGTAGCATTAAGGGAAAAGTCTGAGCAGCAGTGAGGCTAGCAAAGCAGAAAATCACATGGTTGGTAGAGGCAAGACTGATTCTGGGACAGAAATATTTTTCTCTGACTTAAGTAGTTCTGTATCACGTCTCCAGTTGATTAATTCAAGATACTAAGCTATTGTCTGGTTGTTATGTTCTGTTTAAACCAATCTTTCCATAGATTCCTACTATTATGTGGACGACCTGTTGCTAGTATATTGGTTCTCGACCAGGAGATCTTGATCATGTAAAACTCATTAGTGAGGTGAAAACCTACAGAAAACAAGTTGGATGTCAAATTAGTGTGTAGTGTGCCAACTCTGTTAATTGTCTAAATGAAATGGGCTGTGGTAGGTTGCATCTATGGGAATTGTACTTCTGTGTGCAGGGATTTAAAAGGCAAGGATTTGAGTGCTTTGACAATCTGTTTAGAAAGAAGACAGTGGTTTCAAAGAATGATATGAAAGGAGACTGATATGTACTTGAAATGTACTTAACGGGGGAGGCATTGCCTCTCATAAGTCAAAGTTAATGATCCTTTCAAAACTTAGCTGTAATTACTCTCCTGAATGTTCTGGATAATAGTAAAAAGATCTATTTTTGCCTGGTGTTGCAATGAGAAAGCTGCATCAGGTTCAACTGTAGATCACTGCCTGCCAGAGACTAGGTGAGGGGAGGAGTCCGATATATTAGAATTCACAGATGCTTTTGTGCTTGTTTTAAATGTAAATGAAGAAAGCTGAGTGTGTCTGTTTTGTTCTCTTGCAGATGGCACTTTAACAAGTATATTTTTGGTAAGATTAGGGGGAGAGTCATCTTTTCCTCAGCCCTTTTATGGTAGGCATTTGTCTATGTTTTGTATAAAATGTTAAATACAACAGTCACTGAAATCCTAAACTGGCTAGGGTTGTCAGTATCTAGTGCACCCTCATCTGTTTCTACTGAACACCAAAAGTATAAGCACTTGACAATACTGTTAATGTTAAACTGAAGCTCTGTATTCTGAGACTGACACAATCTTGGAAGGGCAACCCAAGTAACGTTGTGCTGCTTGTCACCCAGAGAGTCCCTTTTTCTTTGCTTAGGAACTTGACGGTGTTTGGGAATCCTGTTTTCTACCATCTGAACATGATGGCAGCAGTGGCAGGTTGGTTGTATAAAGATGTAGCTGGATTCTTTGGATAACTTATTTTTGTGATAGAAAAAATGCAGCTGCTGTCTGTAAATTCACACAACCTAAATTCTTGAACTTGTCAGTTCCTTATGTTAGTGGTGTTTTAACTCTTTCAGGACATACTGAAAGGGATGAACAGCAGCAGGGGTAAGCTCTTGGCTCAATAGATTGCACAGTTAAAGTTCCATCAAAGTACTGAAGGGTTTAGTCTTCCCACTGCTGCTTAGCAAAATGGTCCTACCACCTCAAATGCACACTGTGTTACCCTGTCAGTTAACACAAGTTCTCTCTGATACATATTTCCTGCTTTCTACTGTCAGACCAATATTCCAGAGCAGGCCTGTATTTATTGTACAGCAGATATTAAAAGGAGGTGTCCAAAATCAGTCCTGGAATGGGCAAGGTGTACTGTCAACTTATATCCCCGTTTCTCTTGATCTTTGCAGAGAATCCAGGCAATTAGTTGTATGTGGCACTTACGGAGCACTTTCTCATACTTACTTAGAGATGCAGCTGTATTTCCCTCTGCTTACCTGAGAAGAGTCAGAAATGTCTCATTCTCAAGGAAATGGAGAGGAGTCTGGCATGCCCCGACTCCTTTTTTATTTTTTAGGAAGAGATCTCCAGAACTTCCGATCAGCACCTTTCACCAGCACTAAAAGACAGTAATTAAAAATGCAACTAAATACCAGTCACTGAATGCTCATCTAGCAATTCATGGCAGACTCCACAGTCAAAGGCACTTGTGAGACTTGCTTGCTGCTGCCTGATTTTAGATGATAACTTTGTCTGCCAAGTATCTCAGTGGCCTTTTGTGCAACCTCTGATACTCAGCATCAAGCTAGAATATCCATAGTCATAAAAATAAAAAAAAAATTGTGTGGCTTCCATCAAGTTTATTTCTTTTCAGAAAAATCTAACAAAACGAAGAAATAAGCTATTTCCTGAAAAATATTGTGCCCATGAGTAGCTGTAAGCCCGCGTTCCAGCTCTCATCCCTTGGAGTTTGCTTTCCTGTTTGCAAGACGTGCGACTCTCAAGTCTTCTCTGTTAGAGATGAGGATCGGTCTGTCAAATCTGAACACAGGCAGAAATGCAAGAACCAGTGAATGAAAGTCCTAGTTCAGCTGAGAAGCGATGCGTTGCTTTTTTTGACAACCTGGTAAATATGAATTATGAAATCTACTATTTAAAAGGAACCTTTTTTAAATTTGGGTTGCTAGCAGTGTAAAATGTAATTTAAATCCGTTGCGCCGAAGCATTTTTGTTACCAATAGTCAAGTAGGAGATGTTTACTTTTATGTGTGTTTTCCCTTCTGCTCTTCCCATTCACAGTCCCGTTGTGGTAATTTCCTGAAGGTGTAATCTTTGTAGCATGATTGTACAAACATCCATATGAGATTCCTGACTTCTTGTTCTCACTAAAATATGTTAAAGCAATAGTAGTTTTACTTCTGTCCTTCTTTTCTCCACCTTCCGTATTGAGATTTGCAACTTCGCTACTATACTGTCCTAGAGAAATCCTAGTATCCTGCTATTCAACAGACCTATGTTGTTGACATGGATAACTGCAGTGTCCCTATATTCCTTTATTTTTATGGAGAAAATACAAAAGGTTTTGTTACAATGGATTTTAACACCTGAGTCATGGAACCATATTGTTGAAACTCTGTAAATTTTAAGGCAATTTTCTGAAATCGCTTGAAAGTGGAATGTTGCATCCTTTTATGCTATTTCCTGCTTCCTATGTAGTTTTATTCAGATTTTTTAACCTTCTTTCTAAGTTTCAGCCTCCTGTGTATTAGGTACAGTATTTTCTGCC